AAAGTGGCCGACAGAGGAATAAACAACATGACAGAGAGGAAGTAAAACACGTAGGTTTTTCCGAAGGTAGCTTTATTGTTAAAGTGTTATAAACAGGAGAAGGGTGAAAGGTGAGGAACAGTAGATGAATGAAACAGTCACTTTCTGCCCTCTGCTGGACATTTACAATGAAAGAAGAAAAAGCTTTTTAGACCTTCCCATTGAATCCGACTGACTTCAGGGCCTTGGAGATTAAGTAATATACACCAGGAATGAAAACATAGAAAACATGTTCCATTTTACATGGTAAAGGTCATAAACTCTTTTATTCAAATCCGACACATTTGACAGAAATCCTTGCTTCTAATTGTCCTGAGTTTATTCACAATCCTACACTGAAGCAATTTGCAAAGAGCCCTCTTTGTCACGGTGACCCTCTCTTCTCGGTAGGGTCATGTCTGAGAGGTTGTTTACAAGGCAGTCTGGATCCAAGGGATGTGCATGAAGTGGGACCCCACTCTTTATTCACAACAGCTGGAGCAGTGGGAGGGGAGGTGCTGGCATTTGGCAGAGAGGGGTGAGAGGTCAAGTCTAACAGCAATAAAGTGGAGACTTTGATCGTGGCGTTTATGGATGGAGGAGGCACAGCACCCTCAGAGAGCACGACGAAGAGAGAGTGGGACTTAAAGAAAGAGAAAGTAAAAAACATAGGAGGCAACATAAAGGGAAGGATTTGTTTCCTCTAAAATGTTAATACAATCATAAGATGAACATGCATAAGAAGATTAGATTCATCCTAAGTGAGCATTTGGATAATTTACACTGACAAAGTATTTCTGTTTCCTCTGTTCACAAAATAACCTATTTCATTATTAGAATGCAAACTCAGACCAAAGCCGAACCTTCTTAGCTTTTTCCAGTTTTATCTGCCCTCACTAATTATACATCTTAGACGTGATTATTGCATTAATTCAATCACGTGAGTCTTTCAAAAGAATAAAAGCCTTTTCATCTGATATTTACTCTTTATTATTTATTCCTTTACTGTTCCTTGTTTAAAAGTTGGGAACCCTTTTATTTTGCAGAATAGGTGCTCTATTCATTTTATTTTCATATAACCCCATTAGGCTGTCAGAGATGCAGAAAAACAGATTATGCTGTTCAACAACATTTAAAAAGTCTAAACTGTGCATTGACAGACGTTAGGGGGAAAAGAAACTGACTTTTATTCATGGAGACCTGGTTAGGGAAAAAAAAACAATATATTAGCAAGGATTTGTCAAAGTTTACAACACTATAGTCTGTTAATAAGCAGACTGTAGGAAAAACATATGTACTGGGTGACAGTAAGAGGTGAAACCAACATAAATACTGTGCACCTGGATTTTATCTGTTCATGCTTCCGGTGGTTACATCTTTATTCCACTCTGTATTCTCACAAGTTTAGTCCTTCCTAACTTTAAAATAAGAAATAAAAAAAATAATAAGGAAAAGGTTTGAAAAGTTCAGTATTCAGGTTGTCACCTCCCCTGTGTGTCAAGGGTCACAGTTGCTAAGCGACAGATCAGATGGTGGAGAAAGCTGCGGAAGGCTGGACCTGTTTGAATTCACAGCCAATCAGTTCTGGTCTCCTTATTTTCACGAACTTNTGTACTGAGTGACAGTAAGAGTGAAACCAGGGACATCCTAGATGTTGGGGGGGGCTTAGCCCCAGGTACGAAGTCTTAGTGCATGTGTGATGCATGCACAAAAAAATTGTTTTTCAAGGGTGCTGAACACAGGGGCGCAACTACATATTTTTGAGGTGGATGCGATAGGAGGGGAGGTGAAGGATTAGAGGGGTGCATAATCAGTGCTGTCACTCTGTTATTCATTTTTATGCTGTTAAATATAGAAGATGCCAACCAGAAAAATATTTTTTCTAGAGAGGGTTTTGAAGCCCCCTCTAGTGCAGCGCCCTATGCATTGCATACACTGCATACCCACTTTTTACGCCACTGATTAAACAGATAGCTTGATGCTACATGGAAAATGCAACCTGATGGTGTTTACTTTGGCAATAAAACTCTGGTGTTGTCTAACTCTGTTAGTTGGCCTCCCTTCCCTCAGCCTCTCCTGTCTGACTCTTTTGCTATAAAAGCATTTTCTTTCATGTATTTTAATGCACCTTGCAAGATGGATTTTAGTATTTTTTTCAAATGTGGTTATTCATGTAATCAGTATAAATAAAATAAACTATTAAATTCAAGATTTAATAATTTATTAGTTTTAAAACACTGAATTACATTAATAAAGCCTCTTTTTCGCTGAAAATAACACGTTAAACTGGGTTTTTTTTAAACATGGGTCAACTTGCTAACAATTGGCATTTGGTTTCTTCCCCACTGGCAAAACAAGACGATTCTAACCTCTTGCTGGCAATCTGTGATGCCTCTGCCCCACTCAGCTGCGTGTCTGGTGACATCACAGCGTTGTTGATGTCACCAGTGCACCCGTAGGTAAAGTAACGTAAAGATAAATAAGATAGAAGAGTGGTGAGAACAGCAGAGAGGATCACCGGGGCTCCTCTCTCCTCCATAAAATACATTTAGCATTTTTTATCTGTTGCTGTGTGAATGGGTTTGGCTGTAATTTAAGGACAGATTCTAATATATCTGCAGTGTGAGGAATATAAACCTGATATGATTTTTATTTTTTAATTGCTATTTTGCACAGTTTGCTTAAGTAAGTATTTTTCGTTGTTGAATATAATAGATTTTACAGATAAATTTCTATGCATACATTCTTTAGATTTACTTATATCTCTCTACCCCTTTTATAGAATAGAATAGAAAACCCCTTTATTGTCCCACAATGGGGACCTTAGAAAAAATGTAGAAGAATAACATAATAGTGAAGCGTTAAAAGATAAATTAAAAAATATTGTACTGTAAAGTGTTCTGACAACATAAATACTGTGCACCTTTATTCCACTCTGTATTCTCACAAGTTTAGTCCTTCCTAACTTTAAAATAAGAAATAAAAAAAATGAATAAGGAAAAGGTTTGAAAAGTTCAGTATTCAGGTTGTCACCTCCCCTGTGTGTCAAGGGTCACAGTTGCTAAGCGACAGATCGGATGGTGGAGAAAGCTGCGGAAGGCTGGACCTGTTTGAATTCACAGCCAATCAGTTCTGGTCTCCTTATTTTCACGAACTTCGAAGGACCTATATAGTCCAGGTACACCGCATCCTTGGAAGACGCAGCCCATGAATTCGAACGCACCCTTTGTCTGGGAATACCAGGTGCTGCTTTTTGGCCAGCAGAGGGTGTCACACCCTGTCCCCTTTCCAGGAAACTTGCTTTTTACCTCTTTCTATGGGGCTAAATTGGTGCCATTTTTAAATAAGTTATGGTTACAGTTTAGCTCCATGGGG